CCGTCTGTACGAGGGCCCGCAGCTGGTGGCCGACTCCGGGGTGATCATCGACACCACGATGCGCGGGGGGCGGCTGGGGGTCTTCTGCTTCTCCCAGGAGAACATCATCTGGTCCAACCTGCAGTACCGCTGCAACGGTGAGCAGGGCCCCCCGGGACCCCCGCCCCGGCCCGGCGGCCGGCCGAGAGTCCCCTCCCTCGCCCCTGCGACGGCGGTCGGGCCGTCGGTCCTGGGCCGGGGGCTTTACCGGGGCTTGCTGTCCCCGCCGCCTCCTGACGCCCCCCGCGCTGCCCCCCGCAGACACGATCCCCGCAGACTTCGAGCCCTTCCGCCGGTTCCTGCTGGAGGGACGCGAGTGACCGCGCCCGGGCCGGGCCTCCCCCACCAGCGGCACCCGGGGGCACCCCGGGCCCCGCCGCCCCTCCCGCCCGGGCCCAATCCCGGCCCCCCGCGGACTTTGCACTGCCGGTACCGGGCCCCCGCGGTGCCGGGGCTTCCCCCGCTCCTGCCCCGGGCGCTCCGGTCCCTGCCCCACGCCTGGCCATAAAGTTTTGAGTGTTTTCTAGCCTGCGCGCCCGGTCCCTGGCGGGGGTGGTCCCGGCGCCCCGAGAGGGCTCTGGGTGCCCCCCCCGTGCTCTCGGCTCCGTCCCGCGCCGTCCTCCCGGTGGTCGCGGGGGGGCCGGGTCGGTGCCCGGCCGGTCCCACCGGCGCAGCCCGCGGCGGCGGGAGGCCGGGACGAGTGCAATATTGGTGGGCGAGAGCACAACACTGCACCGCATCCCGGCCCTCCCGCCGTCCCGGAGGGAGCGGGAGCCGCGGCCGCCGCCGCCCGGGGCCGCTCCGTGGGAACTGCGCGGCGCGCACCGCGGCTCGGCGGCACAGACCGGTCGCCACGGCGACGGCTGTCCCGGCAACGCGGCGGAATGTGCCCCCACCGCCCCCCCGCTCGCCCCGGAGCGCGCGGCCCCGGCACCGGCCCGGCCTCGCGGCGGCGGCGGCGACAATGGGCGCGGTGGCACCGGGCCCCTCTTAAAAGGGCAACGCGGGGCTGCCCGCCGGTGTTGGGGCCGCGACCGGGGCCAGGGCCGGTGCCCGTTCGCGGCCCGGGGGTCCCGGGGCAGGTGACATCACTGCTCGGTACCGAGCGCCTCGTCCCACGCCCCCAGCGAGGAGCGACCGAGGGTCCCGCTACCTTTTTAGTCCCTTTCTTGCTCCCTCTCCGGTCCCGCTCCTGGTCCAGGTCCAGTCCCGCTCCCGCTTCCATTCCCTCTGTGGTTCCGCTCCGCTTCTCCTCCCGCCTCTCCCAGTCCCTCTTCCCCTCTGCTCTCTCTCCAGTCGCAGTCCTGCTCCCGGTCCCGATCGCGCTCCCGCTGCTGCACTTGTCTCGCTCCAGTCATTTTCCCTCTCCCGCTCCGGTCTCCCTTCAGTCGCGGTCCCGCTCTCGGTCCCGGTCCGGTCCGGTCCCGCTCCCGATGCCGGTGCGCGGGGCGAGCGTCGTGCGGGGCCGTTCCCGCCAGGGGACGCTGCAGCTCCGGCACCGCCGCTCGGTGGAGGGTGCGGGGGCGCGCGGGTTCGGGACCCGCGGAGAGGGTGGGCACGCGGGACCCCCGAGGCACGGACAAGATGGGCACATGGGACCCCCCACGGGGCGCGGTGGGTGGGTAGGTGCGCGGGACCCATCGGACACAGCCAGGGTGGCTGCACGGCCCCCTGGCCCAGGGCTGGTGTGTGAGGGTTGCCGTGAGAGCTGCTGTTGTCCCTGGGACACCCGCCTGTCCCCCCAGCCCCCCACACGGCGTGTCTTCCGTGGATGGAGGGACACTGTAGCCATCAAGCCCCCGCTTTGGGGGGTGATGGAGGAGCTCTGGGGAGAGCCGTCAGTGCTGAAGGGAGGAGGATTGGTGCTGGCACAGCGGGCAGAGGGTGGGGGGGGCTCAGTGTCACTGCGTGGGGGCTACTGTCCCCACGGTGAGGCCTTTAGGAGAGGACAAGTACACCCAGAGTTGCTGCCTCCACTCTGCCTGTGCCCTGCCTGCACCTTGCCCATGTGCCCATGCCTGGCACCAAAGCTCTGGTTCCCGGAGGGGCCAGAGGGCCGCTGGGTCCTGTTGGACCTGCACTGACACCAAGGCCATCCATCCCCTGTGCCACTGCAGCATGGAGGGTCCCCCTGTCTCTGCTCCCCTTCTCAGCTCTGCCTTGGAACCCTTTGGCATGGCTGGGGTGACACTTGGGCTCCACAGGAGGCTGGGCAGGACCTGGGTGTGGGAGACCCCACCAACACCTCCTTGGGAACTGGGGCCCTCCCAGGAATCAGGGCCCCCCCACCTGGGATTGGAGCTCTCTTCAGGGCAGGGGCAGGGAGGGACCACAGTGGCTGGTGATGCCTGGCCGTGCCAGGAGCACGTGTCACCCGGAGCACGGGGGCTCTGTGCCCCGGCACGGGTGGCACCCGTTACCTGTGGGGTGGGGCACTTGGCATCAGCCGTGTCCTGAGTGGGGTCAGGGGTTTGTACCTGCTGGAGAGGCCCTGGGACCTGCAGGCAGGTTACTGGGAGGTACTGGGATGTCGTGGGGCCCTTGGCTCCACCTGCGTAAGCATTTCGGGGGGGTCACCGCTGTTTATTTGAGTGTAGGGCGAGGCGATGGCCGGCCGGTAATGATTAACCCTGGGCTGAGCCAGAGGGTGAGGCCCCCCCTGCTCGAGGGGCTGGGGGGCTCCGTGTCCCCCCTCGTAACCCCCCACCAGGTCCTGGGGGCCGTGGCTCAGCCCACGGGGCTGGGCAGATGCTGCCCCCACCCCTGCCCCGGAATGCCCAGCTACCGTCCTGTGCCCGCCTGAGGCTGTGCCCGTTCACGGCACGGGAGCGCTGCCAACGGTGTCCCCCCGAGCTGGGGGAGCACGGGGGGACCCAACCTGGCGTGGAGGAGGTTGCGATGCTGCTGTGGGGGCCGCATCGGCGCGGTGGCACCCCTGTGCCCAGTGGGACAGGGGAACCCCCCCCTCCCTGGAGCTGGCTGCGGGGTGGGGCCTCCCCACCTGCTCCAGGTGCTCTATAAAGCTCCGGCCGCTGCCGAGCTGCCAGTTCCGGATCCCTGCATCGAGGCGTGCGCCGCCGGCTAACGGGAGAGAGCAGCCACCGCCCAGCCCCGCCAGGCGCTGGGACCCTCCGGACGAGCCCCATGGCGTTCACTGCCCTTCTGCTGCTGCTGGTGCTGGGCACAGGTGAGGGGCTGGGGCACCCCGGGCCAGGGGAAGCCGGGCTGCCACCCGGGCAAGGGGGGGAGGTACGGGGGCAGAGGGAGCGGAGCGAGGTCTCTTTCAGGGTGGGGAGCAGGGGACACTAGAGCCGGTGGCACCCCGGCAGCAGGGACCTTGTCTCCTGTCCCGGTCTGGCCCCGGGGTGCAGCACCGCAGGGCTGGTTATGCCCTGCAAAGCCGGGACGTGGGGGCTCAAATCGCAGCCCCTTCTCTGCCGCGTCCGGGGCTGGGCTGTGCCGGGACCAGCCGGAGCAGGCTGTGCCCGGGGCTCGCAGGCTGGAATGCAGGTGTGTCCCGGTGAGCACCCGGACCCCGGGCTCTCCTCCAGTGCCGTCGGCTCCTGCGGCACCCGCTGGGAACCTGCCCGGGAGCTGCCTGTGCTGGCTCACAGCCAGGCCAGGAGGGTGCTGGGGGCACAGGGGGCACCCCACCCTGCCACCCACAGCAAAGGAGGCTTTATTGGGGTGGTGCCTGAGCCCCACAGCGTGGCAGGGTCACCACAGGATCTGGGGGTCTGCAAGGCCAGTACCAGTGCCCGGGTGGCACTCGTTGGACCCTCGGTGGTGTCACATGTGCCCAGCAACAGCCACAGTCATGGGGTGTTCCTGAAGGTCTCGTTGGCCTCATGGGCAGCAGGAGCCACCGGGTCTTGGCTCGTGTGGGTCACGGTGCTTCCTGCAGCGTCCAGCTGAGAAGCTGTGTTGGGCAAAACTTTCCCAAACCGGGGGCTGCAGCTGCCAACTCCTGGTGTTTCCTCCAGGTACACGTGCCATGCCCATGGAGACAACCGCGGAGATGGAAACGACCGAAACGGCCGCCACGGAGATGACCACGGAGACCACCCCCAGCACCCTGACTGTTGCTCCACCTGTCTTCCCTAAAAGCACAGGGGGCAGCAGGCCTTCACCCAGCCTCTTCCCCCATGCCACCATGTTCCCTGGCAAAAACACCACGGACCTCCAGTCCGGCAACCACTCCTTGGGCAACGGCACCGCAGTGCCCGTCCCCGGCAGCCCGGCCATCTCCCACCCCAATGCCACTTCAAACAGCAGCAGCTGGGCTCCCCACTTGGGCACCAACAGCAGCTCCGCCTCTCCCACCACCGTGGATGGCGGCAACTCCAGCGCCAAAGGCAACGGGAGCACCAGCGCTCAGGCCCCTCCCACCCGCACCACCTCTGTGACAGCCGAGGGCAGCACGGCTCACGGGCAGACCCCCACCGGGGAGGGTCCCAACCCCAGCAAAGCCACGGCCCAGCTGCCCGCTGCCGCCCAGCTGCTCGCCCGCGTCCCGCTGTCCTTCCGCATCATCAACAGGAGCTTCAACGAGAGCCTGCGGGACCCCACATCGGAGCAGTACCGCAGCCTGAGCCGCACTGTCCTGGCCGTGGTGAGTCCTGTGAGCTCTGCCGGCACCAGCAAACGCCCTCCGGGCTGTGCCGGGGAGGAGCCACCTCACCTTGGGGCTCGCCCTGAGCATCCGCTCTGCCGGCGGCTCCAGCCGGTCCTGCGTGGGGAGGTGACGGATGGGGTGTCTGTGCGGGAGGCCTCAGTCACCCCAATGCTTCGTTCCAGTTTGAACATGTGTTCGGCTGCGCGGGCTGCATGGGCACACAGACCTACATGGGGTGCAGCGAGCTGCGGTACAGGTGAGCAGCAGCAGTGCCCTGGCACACGCATCCCCCCTGGTGCCCAGCCCCTCGGGGGGGTGATCTGGGCACTGACACCTCCCACACAGCCAGGGCTCGGTGGAGGTGCAGTCCACCCTCGTGTTTGGGAATGGCAGCAACGCTGTCACCGCCAGTGCCGCTGAGCAGCGCCTGAGGAAGAGCCTGGACCAGAACGGCTTCATCATGGGCCTGCAGCTGGACAGCATCCAGGGTGAGTGGGGGCTCTGGGACAGGGTGGGAGGGTGGATGGAGCCAGGGCTGGGGTCAGAGGGCTCTGCAAATGCTGCCCTGTCCTGTCTGGGGCTGTTTGGTGCTGAGACAAGCTCGGGGCTCACAGCGGGCAGAGCCAATGCAGGTTCCCAGTGCCCACGGCAGGCAGCGCTAGGAAGAGCAAGTGGGCTCTGTGGAGGAGGGCTCAGCCCCTGATACCCCATGGTGGGGGTCTCTCAGGGCTCTCTCAGGCTCTGCCCATGGTGAAGACACAGCTCTACTCCTTTCAGGCTCCTCAGAGGTGGTGATGTCCCCAGCACCGGTGCCCATGGTCCCAGACTGGGCCATTGCTCTGCTGGTCCTGGTCAGCATCCTGCTGCTGCTGAGCTTCTTCACCTGCCTCCTCCTGATGGTGAGGTGCCATCCCCGTCCTCATCTGTGTTCTGCCACTGAGTCCCTGTTCCCAAGGCCCTGAGCCCTTCTCTCTCCCCCAGTCCTCCTGCACCTGCCGCCGGAAAAGCCGAGGGAAGCTGGACCTGCTCAGCCAGAAGGATTCCTACCACCCCATGGCCGAGTACCTCCAGTACCAGAGCCACGGGCGCTACGTGGCCCCCAACAGCAAACCCAACCCCTACAGCCAGGTGAGAGCGAGACCCCCGATCCCCAGGGTCCCAGCTGCTGGGGGGTGGGGGCAGAGCAGGGGTACATGCCCTGGATCCCGGGTTAATTAATGGCTGACAGAGCTGGGACTGGTGTCCGGGGAGCTCGTCCCACGCCGGGCTCGCCGGGAGGTGAGCGTAACTTTCACGCCTGGCTGGAGCAGCCGCGTGGGGAGCGAGTGCGCGGCCGGCACGGGCAGACCCCGCCCGGCTCCGGGGAGCTCCCCGCGACCTTGGGCGGCTGCTCCCCCTGCCCAGCCCCGGCAGCACTGCCAGGGCTCGCTGCCCCTTCTCCTGCTCCGCTGCATCCCAGCGCGACCCTCGGATCTCCTGGTGTTGCAGCATCCTCTGCCGTGGGTGGGGAGCGAGACTGGGGGAGCATTGCAGGGTTGGCAGGGGGGCTGATCCCCATGGCCGGCACCCCAACCCACCCCAGCTCCGAAAATGGAGCTGCAGGTGCCGCGTCGGGAGCTGCCTGCAGGCACAGAGGACTCCCCTGGGCAATGTGGGGCGCAGAACCCGCCCCGTTCCCCCCCTCCCTCCCCGTGTCCTGCGCTCCCCCCAGGCAGGGGCTGCGGGCGGGGGCCGTGTCCAGCTGCTCGGCTCCCTGCGAGCAGCTCACCCTGTGCAAATACCAAGGGGCCTGGGTAAATATTTACCTTCGCGCTCGCCGGGCCGGCTTATCGTGTGAGAACACGGCCGGGGCCAGCGCGGCTCCTCCCGCGCACGGGGCGGGGGGGGGGCTCGGGGTGCCCGTGCGGGCCTGGGGTGCCCACGGTTCCCCCTGGCTGGGGCAGCTGCCCCCCACGCAGTTTTTGGCTGCCCATAGTGGCCGTGGGGAGGGTATGGGGGGGGTTCCCCTGCTGCCTCCAGGGGAGGGAGCTCAGCCCAGCCCTGACACCCCCTTTCCTCCCCCTCAAGGTGGCCGGCAGCAGCACCACGAGGGCCGGCACCTTCACCTACACCAACCCTTCCGCCGGCTCCGACAACCTCTGAGGGACACGCTGGGACGGAGGGCGGCTGCCGAGGGGAGGGGGCAGCTGCAGCCCCCCGCTCCCGGGGGAGCAGCGCCAGCCCCGGGCACATCCCCCGGCGCCGCTCGACCCCCCTCGCCGCGGGCAGCGGGCGCCGGATGGTTCTGGAGCAGCCGGATTCGCGCACATGACAGAACTGGATGAACAAAGACGGGGGGAGCGGGAGGGAGGGTCGCCCGCACCCCCACGGGCCCCGCTTGGCTTTGCAACCCTGCTCCGTGCCGGGGGGGGGGGGGACGGGCTCATGCTCACCCCTGCGCTCACCCCCGGGGATTCAACTGCTCTTTTTGTGGTGTTATTTTATATAAATATCTCTGTTTTGGGGGGTGTTGGTGCCGGGCTCGGCTCGGCGGGGTGGCAGGTCCTCGGGCGGGGTGTATTTATCATAGTTACAATAAAAGGATGGGGGAAGCCTTGTGTCCCCAGGGCTGTGCTGGGGGGGCTCCCCTTGGGCTGTGACAACCCCTGTGTGGCCATCACCCACCTGGGTGGCCCGGCTTGGGCAGTCACTCTCACTTCTCCATCCAGGCAGTCCTGGGGGTTGGTGTGGGGGCTGTCACTGTGTCCCCAGTCCCTCTGGGTGCTGGGCCCCATCCCTTTGATCCCTCCTGCACTCTCGGTTTCTGTTCACGATCCAACGTGTCTCGTTTTGACGTTTGACACGTCCCGTTTCCCCACGGCTGCACAGGTGGAATGTGACGGAGCTGATGGGTCTGTGCAGCTGCTGCACGTGTGTCGCTGGGTGCGTGTGCCATGTCCTGCCCCCCCCCCCCCATGCCTGCTCCAGGCTGGGGGTCCTCCAAACCCCTGAGGGAGCCCCAAAAAGGCTCTGGGGGCTGCTGGAAGGAAGGAGGGCATGGCTGGAAGGTGGGATGTGCTGAGGGGCAGCAGGGTGGCCCCAGCAGGGCCGTGTGTTGGGCTGTGCCGGGGCACAAACCTTGGGAATGCCGTGCCTGGTGGCCCCCTGGCAGTCCCAGTTTGGGCTGGGCCCATCCTGGGCACTTGGGAGGGTTTTGGCAACCACTGAAAAGGCAGAAAAACAAGGAGCCAAACCTTCCTCTACGAAATCCCGTGTGGGTGCAGGCACGGAGCCAGTGCTTGGCCAGGAACAGCCCTGGGACCAGCCCAGCGGCCGGGGGAACGCCTTGGCCACAGCTCTGGGGGGGGGTGACACTGCTGTGCCAGGTGCCCAGGGACCCTGGCATGTGCTGGGAGGTGTCAGAGCTGTGCTGGGTTGTGGGTGAGAGACTGGAGGGCCTCTGAGGAAAGGGGGGCTGCCCAGTGCCCTGAGGCGGGGGTGGGGGGTGCATTGATGGGAGTGGAGCACCCCCCACCCCCCCCCCAGTCTATGCTGCCGGCTGGGGATGGGGTTGTGTGCCTGGGGCAGAGCCCTGTGGAGAGCAGGGGGGTGCCTGGGGTTGCTGCTGCCCCCCCTCAGTCCCTCCCCACTTCCAGCCTTGGGCAGGGCCCCAGGAATCGAAACTGGCACCAGGGCTGGGCCCTACAAAGAGCTGCCTGTTCGCAGGGAGCCTGACCCTGCGGCCCCCTCACCTTCAGACAGAGAGGGTGGGGTCCCCAGGGGCAGGCACAAGCCTTGGGGGGCCCTGCCCCACGTGGCCCCTCCACTTGTCATGCAGTGTACCCAGGCAGGTGGTCCTACCCTGAGAGGATGTCTCATCACCCAGCAGCCTCCCCAGCTGGACTCTTTGCCTTTGGGACGCCCCAACAATGCTGCAGGGGTTTGGTTTAGGCCCAGCAGGGAGATGACCTGTCCAGGAACCCCCCCTGACATGCCAGGATGGGGTGGCAGCGACCACGTGGCTGAGCAGAGCACGGGTAGGACCTGACACGTCAGCACTGCCTGGGCTGGGCAGGATTGGCCCCTGCCAGGCACAGCCTGAAGGACAGCCTGGACCCACAGCACTCCAACCCCATAGACAGCCCAGTCCCACAGTCAGCCTGGTCCTACAGCCCCCCCAGGCCCACAGACAGCCTGACCTTGTGACCTCTGGCTTGACAACCCTATAGTCAGCCCGGCCCTACAGCTCTCTGACCCCACTGTCAGCCCAGCCCCACAGCCCCCTGGCCCCACGGACAGCCCGACCCCCTGGCCTGCCTGGCCCCCCCAGCCACAGCTGCCCTCCACGGCAGGGAGGCTCCCGAGGATTCTGGCATCGCAGTTTATTGTAGGAAACCATGAAAATACAGCGATTGTTGTAACAGAACCCAGGAGAAACGACAGCAGCTCGGACAGATCCCGGCACGGGAACTGCCCGGCACGGCCCCCGCGGTGCGTGGGGCTCCCCTGGGCGGGTCGGATCCGGACCCCGCAGCCCCAGCCCGCCCCGGCCGCGTGCGGTTTGGCACCGAGCGGTGGAACGGGAGCCAAGCGTGGCCCTGGGAGCACGTGCAGGCAGGGCGCAGGCAGGGCTGGCCAGGCACATGGCTGCCCAAGGACAGGGCCAGAGAGGGGGCACCGGGACGGACCCCTCGGTGGCTGTGTCCGGGGAGGGGCCGCGCCCGGCCGGATGAGCCGCATCGAAAACGAGCCATTTTACAAAACGTCTTCACACCTTGTTCCAGCCCAGCCTCCCCCCCCACCCCGCCCTCTCCCCTACCTGGTCTGCCTCCCCCACCCCAGCCAGCACCCAGCCTCTCCCCTCCACCGTCACCCCCACTGTCACCTGCCTCCCCCCTCCCTGCGCAGCCCCGTCCCCCTCCCTGACCCGTCTTTGGGGCTGACCCTCTGCCAGCCCTGCCCGCAGCCCCAGCCCAGAGCAGCCTCGGGCAGAGCTGGGGCGAGGGGCAGGCAGACAGGGCGAGGAGGGGACGGCAGAGCTGTCCCCGTCCCCCCCATCCCACAAAACAAACACCTGGCCTCTCCCCAGCAGTAACAGGGCCGGGGCTGCCCACCCTGTGCTCTGCTCCCTGCCCACGTGTGACCCCCCCCTAGCCCCGGAGCTCTCGGGGGGCACAGCCTGGGGCACGCGGGGAGCCCGGGCACGGCTCAGTCCAGCTTGGGGAAGCCCCCGATGGTCACTTTCCTCTCCTGCTTGTTGGCCACCAGCTCCTGGAGGTGCAGGGCCCCGCCCCCGATGAAGCAGAAGGCGGGGCAGACCGGCCCCGAGCAGTCCACGCCGCACTCCCAGAGCTCGCGGAAGGACACGGCGTCGTAGAAGCTCACCTTGCCCTGCTCGTAGTCCAGGCAGATGCCGATGCGGGGGGGCAGGGGCACGGTGCAGCCGTTGGGGTCGCGGGAGGTGAGTGCCGAGCCGTGCGACAGCAGGATCTTGCCCATGCCGATGGTGAGGAAGGCGTAGGGGGGAGGCGCCTCCACCGTCGTGTCCTCCGCCCCGCTGTCGTGGCCGCTGTCGGGGTCATACCTGCGGCAGGAGGACAGGTGAGTCCTGGCACGCCAACACACCCCGCAGTGC